AGTAATAACATCTTTCACATGACCAGTTGATCAGCAAGTTTAATGCTAGCTTGTTTATAGTAAACTATCTAAATTGCAAAATAAAAAAAATATTAAAACCAATATATTGTCAAAGATAGTGTCTAGTAGCTATGAATACCTACTCAGATTTATGTGTAAAAAGACCATAAGAAATAAAAAAAAAAAATATTAAAAGATCTATGAGTCCATAGTGTAGTGGTTAATACTTCACAGATCAAATCACAAGATACCAGTTCAATTCCATATGAAAGCAGTTAAATAGAATTAATATAGTATCTGGTGTCATAACCTGTAAAAGCACTGTTTTTTATAAGAAGCCATTTTACATACTGATTCAGTAAGTATTATGATTGTGATTTCCAAAAAAAGTGTTGTAGCATTACGATCTTCTGGTTGGTGTTATGATGATTATCAGAAGTTGCAAAGTATATGAGATGTCTGCTTTTGATAAGCAGGTTTGATGATTTCTCTTCTAATATCTGACATTTTTCATATAAATCCCTACTCTAGTCTCATTCCAATCTAGTAATAAACTAGTTAGGTGGTACTTATCCCAAGAAGGCATCTGACTATAAGTCCTGTTTTCTGTAATATGTAAGTTGGTATTCAGGCAGTAAGTATTAGTTATAAGTACCTTAAATATTCTTGAGTATTGATTGAACAGATAAGAAATTAAATAGTTAGCTTAGCTACAAGTGGTAGTAAAAGAATTTATTTCTAATAGAGCAAGCAGTGATATGTAGTTTTATTTATCATAGATATTATCCCTAGTATCTCTTTTCAACTTTCTTTTAATTTTTCTCCAAGTTAGAAATAAAGCTTAAACTACTAGTGAAAATATATGTTACTGATTAAACAAAAGATTTCTTTGTTCAATAGATTAGCCTCTATACCTAATATAGTTAGGAATAAGCTACAGCAAATATCATTATTTGAAGCAATCCCGATAAGTGTTGGATGTAATTAACAACTGATATGTTATAGCATAGTCCTAAATAGTAATGTTTAAAGATATATATAAACATTATTATGAAAAATAAATATTCAGCCAAATAATTATTGTTAATGCACTTTAAAAAAAATAAGAATAAAAATAAAATAAATAAAATACTAAACAAAAAAATAGATATAAAAAAACTAATTATAAAGTTAAAAATTTTTCAAATAAGTGTATCACGCTGATAGTTTCATTTAACTGAGATATGATATATGTGTACCTATTATAAATAATCAGGCTATTGTTCTAAGTATACAGTAGTATTAATGATATATTTCTTTGATAATTGATTTGTTATAATAATTATATTGTTGTTTTGTTAATACAATTAGTAATTGGTTTGTTTGTTAATAATATAATTGGTTTGTTTATTGGTAATATAATTTTGTTTTAATAGTTATTACTAAAAAAGATTTTGTTTATATTAATCAGTGGGTAGTATTTTGGTAGTACAGATTTGTTTAAATAATTGGTAGTGTTTGATTAATTGATTTAGAGATATTGATTAATTGATAGAAGTAAACTAATTATAGTTTTTTATGAAAAATTTTTTGAAAAAAAGTTTTGTAGTTTTTGTAATGCAGCAAATTATGCTAGACAATAGTAAAAAGTAAACAATGAATATATTGCTGATATTTCAAGTCAATAATATAAATATTTTTAATATGTGGTTTGGTTTTTTGATTTGCAAAGAAGATCTTTAAGAAAAGAATATAATTATTTAATAAGAAATATATATTTATAAGAAATGAAAATGGAAAGAACTCCAAGGAAAATTTATAAAAAAGTAACTGCAACAGGTTTTTTCTTATTCAATCCAAAGAAAAAACAAGATCTTTAAACTTGCTTTTCTTTAGCCAGAAGTTTTATCCCAATGTATATATATATTTTTTTAGTTTCCTTAAGGTTCTTATAATAAAGGTAAAGGATGTGTAAAGGATTTTGGAAAGTTGAAAGGTGAGAAAAATATTTGTTTCTTTAATTTTGAAAGATAATTACTAAAAAGGAAATTTTAAGAAAAAAGTTGTGTATGGAAAAGAGTTTTTAATTTAATTATAATTATTATAAATCGGTAGTTTAATATATAAAAAAAATTAAAAGAAAATAAAAATTTATAATTTAATATATTGAAACTTTTGGTTTTTTTTTTAATAAACTTTTAAATTAGAAAAATATAGAATATTAATAATTTTATTTAAAAAATTTTATAAAAAATTTAAATTTTATTATTATTGTTTAAATTGTTCTTTTTTTTTTTTGTTTAAAAGAAAATATAGTCTTTTTATAATGTTTTAATTAACCATAGACTATTTTTAATTTAATTATTTACTTGTAATTCTTTTATTTACACAAAAATTTAATTAAAAAATTATTTTATTATACTTTTTTTAATTTTTGTTTCAGAAATTTATTTAATAAAATCAATATTTAAAAATTCTTTTTGAATTATTAATAATATATTTAAACTATTCTTTTTAATTTTTTTTGTTTTTTTATTTTCTAGATATTTTTTCTTTATTTTATAATATTTATTAAAAATATATTTTATAATTTTTTATTTCTTATATTAAAAATATATAATATGTTATATATATATATATATCTAGTTTTTTTTTATATTTAAATTCTATAATATTATAATCTTGTTAATTAATATAAAAACTTGTAATTCTTAACTATGATTTCTAATAATACTATTTTGATATTAAGTCAATATTAGATTTACTATTAGTTTAATATAGTAGATTATAACTTATATATTAAATTTATTATAAGTCAATATTATTTTAGTATTGTTTTAAAATTTATTCTTAATAATAATATATTCTTTTTTAATATATTATTTTTTTATCTTCTGTTTCAAACTATACTTTATGTTTCTTTTATTATTATTTTATAAATTTACTAATTTCTATATTTAAGTTTTTATTATTTATGTAATTAAAATATACTTATTATTTTTTCTATATGTTGGCAATTTATACTTATAATATATATTATATATATTTTAACTTTTTATTTTGTTTTGCTAATTATATATTTTGAATTATAAAATATTAAAATTAATGATATAATTAAAATAATAATATACAAACAATAAATAAAGTTAAAGTTATAAATAAATAAAATAATTTTTTTTTTAAAATAAAACAATTATTAAAAGATTTAAAAATAGTTTAATTTAAAATAATAATATTTATTTAAAAAATAATTAAAAAAAAATTTTTTTTAAACTATTTGTTAAACAATAATAAAAAATCAATATTTATTTAATTAAACATAAAGTTTTAAAAAATATTTTTAAATATTATTTGTTTTAATTAAAATCAAACAGTTTTAATTAATTATTGATAATAAAAAATAAATTGATACTATTATAGAAAGCTTTGTATTTTGTTTAAACTAAAAAATAAAAATTTTTAATATTGAATAAAATAGGTATATAATATTTTTATTGAAAAATAAATAATGCTAAATACATATATTTTTTATCGAATAATTAGATAAACACTTTATTTATTTTAGTTTTGTAATACAATCTGGATTTATAATATATTCTTGTAATTTATCCAATAGGTGAATAGTACTGTATTTCACTTTTATAAATTATATTCCGAGATCTTGTTAAAAAACGTGTGACACCAGCCTGATTGTGGGATAATATAAAAATAGTAAAATAGTATATCCGTGTAGAACTTACGACACATAATTCGCGTAATGCTGATCATTCTGTAAATGGTACCAGTAATCTTATCAAGTACTGATGTATTAAAAATCTCGATAACCGAAAATTCCTTAATATAACCAAAATAGGTTAACTTACAAATAATAAAACAATATACAGTTGTAGAAAATGTCACCTGAACTCGAGACTTTCGTATCTAGTTTTACCGAAATGGAAAGGATAATCTCTTGATCTCGACAGAAAACGAATACATACGCCAATTGTTTCACTAACGACTTAATTAAAAAGATGGATGCACATATGATTTTAGAAAGGAATGTTTGATCTTCCTTCATTCAAATTTTGACTTTGGAAAATAATAGGGAAAATATGAGCGAAGTCACTCCATTATTAAAAAACCGTCCGGGATCAGATCCCTCTTACGGTCAAAATTCCAGTTATTCAGATGCCTCTTTCGCGCATGACTCTAGAAAGAAAGCTCAGAATGCCCATTCATCTTCGATGGCCCATGCCGCTGAAATGGAAAGGATACGGAAAAGCCAGAAAACGTTCTTCAAACATGCAGAGTCGAAACCTAACCTTAGACAACGAATTGCGTACCAGTGTGACACTGGAAAAAGAGGAAGAATATGGGAATTGGTTGATGCCACATTATCTGTCATGTTTTTTTCCTTGTATATTTGGGTTGGTTATTCGAAATTTTTCTGTCATGATATTCTACATCGACATATGATTGCTGATTTTCTGCGTCTGATAGAACACCCAATATGTGCTTCCCGACCACAATCCCATACCTTTTCCACATTCCCTTCAAACAGCTGACATGGTGTTGGCTTGTCTAATTCTCGTCCAATTCTTGCCTCGTGTTTGGTTGGACAATGAACCTTTGCAGTATGCTGGAAATTTTTTCTCCACTTTAACATGGGTCTCCGTATTTCCGGTCATATTCGCATACATTCAAACGATATATGACACAGAAATGGACAATACATATATGGGAGTTGAAAAATACGTAAGAAAGTTTGAACATTCACGTGACACGTGATTACGATTCAATGATACTAATTGCCCAAATAGGTTTTCATCTATCCACTCCGTTTTGTTAGAGCCCACGTGTCTGTGCAAATGCTTTTTGTTCCTGCCCGAAATTCGTTATTCCATTTTTCGGTGATCACGAGGAAAGGTCTTAAGATAGGTGAGTCATCGTCACCTTTCATAAACCAAATATATCGCGAACAAGATTCACACCATTTTTATAAATTCTATCTTAGGCGTGACCATTTTGTTTACTTTTCTCACGGTTGCTGCCTGGATCCACATCATATCATTCAAGCAGATTACCTCGCATCTAGATCTGAGTTTCTATGACGCATTTTGGTACACAGTAGGCATGTATTATTAGATTTAGGGAAACAGTCGATTTATGATTGATTTGGTCATTGATAGTTGCGAACTAATTATTTTTTTACTTCTCGATTTTAAATAGTGAGCAGGTAGGCATGATAAATTTCGATATAATCTAAAGTTTTTCATCTTTATTAACAACCGAATTCAAATAGTACAAATGGTATGAGCACGAATCTCATACCAGAGAACAGCTGGACGCGTTTGGTCATCCTGTACATCATGGTCGCCGGTGCCATCTTCATTCCGACACACCTGTCCGATCTCCTTAATCTAATTCAACAGAAGTCAAAGTACGATCATGGGTTTAAAAGAAAGAAAGGTCATCAACACGTTTTGGTTACTGGAGATTTTAATTCCACAAGCTTATTTGAATTCTTACGTGAGTTCTTTTGCCAAGATCACGGATTGGCAACTGTGAACACTTATGTGGTGATTTTGAATCCCGAGGAGGTAAATAAGTTATCGGAAAAATTTTATTCAACACGTGTTCTTTCCATAACGAGAATATATATCTTCTTTTTAAACCTAGCCACCTGATGACGTGGTATTGTTACTTGAAGACCCGGCGTTCGTGAACAGGGTTCAATATGTCAAAGGGTAATAATAATTACACACGAATTCCGTTGAGATATGCTTTATCCTCTAAACTCGTGTGTTTAAAAAATTTCAGATCCTCCGCTTTTCGTCGAAGTCTTGTGAAAGCAAAAGCGGAATCCGCTAGTGCGGCATTTTTACTGGCTCCAAAATTTACCAAGAATGATGACGAAATTGATGCGGCACAGCTCATGAGATCTTTGGTTGGTATCATCATAAATTCCTAAATTTTGTGCTAAGCCATATTGCTATTAAGAGAAGTTACTTAGGTTCTTTTTTTTTTTTCTTATCAGGCATTGAAGAAATACAATAATAACTTACCATTATATGTTCAAGTTCACTTACCTGAAAATATATCTCATTTCGATTTCTTGGGTAAGTTCATTGCCCATAATTCAAAATTGATTCGTTCTTCGAAACAGAGCTTTTAATCACCAACACGAATTTTAGCTGAGGGTGTGATATGTATAGACGAATTAACCATGGGTCTTATGGCTCAAAGTTTGGTCACTCCCGGATTTACGTCACTTGTTGTATTGCTTACCACTTCCGTTACCGATAAAGTCGCGAATGAATTAACCCGTAACGCAACAAGACAAGAACCAGGTATCCATTAGTGTTTTGTATACTCGTAAAAGGGAGCTGATACTTAATACTTATGAATTTTAGAATTAATGTGGGCGACCGAATATATTCGTGGCATGCAACAAGAAATATATGCAGTTGAACTTTCTGAATTCCAGGGAAAAACATTCTTGGAATGTTCCGAGCTTATTTATGTGCATTTGCACGCAGTTCTTTTCTCCATTGGGACCTGCAAGACAAGTGAAAAGACTTTCTCGACATTAATGAAAGACGACAATTCTTCTCATTTTCAAATTTATTTAAATCCTCAGGATTACATGATCAAGGGAAATGAAATTGGTTTCGTCATTTCTGACGACGCTAGTATAGTCTCCGGGGTGGCACAATTTAATCATAAAAAAAATAAACAATTTGATCCGTATCTGGGAATGCAATTTCTTCATTCAACCAAGAGTTTCTTCCAACTAAATAGAAAGGATGAGAACGTTGATAAAGTTAATAGTGATCTTGAAAGAAATGGAACGAATGAGGATTATTCTACGATTGTCATATCAGCGTCTCCACCCTCCACTCAAGTTCCCGAGCCATCGAATATAATAGATGAGTCAGAAAGCATAAGCATGCTTCTAAAATCCGATACGGAACGATCAGAAGTTTTACGTAAGAACATCGAGAAGGCAAAGGCATATTGGGATAAGCCAATCGATAACGGTATCGAAGAAGTGCGAAATCACGTTTTGATATGCAATTGCTCGAACCTATTCCCTGAAAATCTGGATATCTTTGTAATGACGCTTCGAGAAAGGAATTCGTCATGCCGGGATATGCCGGTGGTCATCTTGACAGATAGCAATCCATCGCCCTATGAA